TCTTGGTTATTTTCCCCGTTTAAAGAGGGGAAAATAGTTCAGGTGCTTACTGTTGACTAGCACCGACGCGACGGGCCGAAGGGCCTTCATCTGCGCTGTCGAAATCCGAGATAAACAAGGTTCGGAATCAAGACCCAAAGCAAATCAGAAGCGAAAGACGAAGTCGGTTGTGGGGGGGGGGGGGGGGGGGAAGGGGTGTGTTAAAAATAATTTCTTTTTTTAAAAATAAAAACAAAACAAAGCCGGTGAGAGAATTTTTTTCTTTTAATCCGATTTGAGTTGCGGTGAACTGGAGACTTTCCAAGTTCTGCGGTGAAGCACAGAACGCTCGACTTTCGGCTGGTGGCCCGTCAGTTTCTAAAATAAAACTTTTAAAAAATAAGATTTCTTTAAAATCCAATTGTTTTGTCGCGTACGTATTTGTGTGTGTAAGTGTTAAAGACTCACCTGAGTACCTGGTACCACTCCTCCAGATTGTTACTCTCCAACAGCTTGGCTACTTTTGGTCGGCACTCGCTACATTGAATACACTTGACTTCACAAGGTGGTGGGACAGGCCGTCCGGCCCCGCCCCCTCCGCGCGCCCTCTAACCAATCACCACCCAAGCCCCGTGGTAACTCCTGCCCCCTCCTCCCATCTCACTGGTCACGTTACCTGCCACTCACCCGCTCAGTCCCGCCTCCCCGCCCACTTCCCTGGCCCCACCGCGCGCGGAGGCCCGCCTCCCCCTCTGCCCTCAACTGCCACTCACCCCGAATCCCCGACCTCCTCCGCTGGCCCCGCAGCCTGCCACCCACCGCGCGCGGAGTCCCGCCTTCCCATGGGTCTGATTGGTCCGCCTGCCTGCCACTCACCGCGCGCGCTGTCCCGCCTCCCCGCCCTCCTCAGTGGTCCCGTCGCCTGCCACTCACCGCGCGCCGTGGTTCCGAGTCTTTCATTGGCTCGTCCGGCCCGCGGGTAAGCAATCAGCTGACGTACTTCACCCCACCCACCTCACCTGTTTGTGTCAGGTGATGTGGGGGGGTGGGGCTACCAGCTCCATAGCAACCAGGTTGAAGTGACTGGGAATGGCGGAGGGTTGGGCCTTGTGGGAGGGAATGGGCCATTCAGCCCGTCGAGTGTGTGCGCAACTGGCACTGAGGACAACAGAAATCACTGAGCAGCACTTTGAAGAAGGTTGAGGGCTCTGGGTCTGTTGTCCACCGAGTCTAGAAGGATGAGAGAGGGGATCTGACTGAAGCTTAGAGAAAACTGAGAATCCTGGATGAGGAGAAGATGGATCCACTTGTAGGACCCGATAGCACAGCCTCAGAGCCAAGGGACGACCCCTCAGAACTGAGATGAGGAGGAATTTCTTCAGCTGGAGGGTGCCGAATCTGTGGAACTCATTGCTGCACAGGCTAGAGAGGGGAAGTCCAGCATTTGTGACAGAGATCGATAGGGGATCTCAAGGGTTATGGAGAGAAGGCATGAGAATGGGGTTGAGAAACCCATTGATCGAATGGCAAAGCAGACTTAATAGAATAGACCTTTCACAGAATCCCTACAGTGTGGAAGCGGGCCGTTCGGCCCATCGAGTCCACACCGAACCTCTGAGGAGCATCACACCCAGATTCACCCCCCATATCCCTGTATTTCCCATGGCTAACCCACCTAACCTACATGACCCTGGACACTAAGGGACAATTTGCCATGGCCAATGCACCCTGACATGCACATCTTTGGACTGGGGAGGAAACGGGAGAGCACTGGGAGAATGTGTAAACTACACACAGACAGTCGCATGAAGGTGGAATCGAACCCAGGTCCCTGGTGCTGTGAGGCACCATGCTGCCCTTGGATGGGCCAAGTGGCCGAATTCTGCTCCTATGGTCTTATGGAGGTGTTAACCTGTGGGTATATCAGTTGGATGTAAGTTGAGGCTCCCATTCTGAAGGAAGTATCAGGCCAATATTTGTACTGAAAACAAAAACTACTGGAAATCACGTCGGATCAGGCAGCATCCAGATGGCCCAGACCAGTACAAGAAATCCAGATATGACCTCCGCAGAGCCATCAGGGATGCCAAGAGGCAGTACCGGACCAAGTTAGAGGCCCAGACCTACCAAATAGACTCACGCTGCCTATAGCAAGGCTGAAACAACATTATGGGATACAAAATGAAGCAGAGCAAGATAGCGAACAAAGACACATCCCTCCCTCACGCACCCAATGCTTTCTATGCTCTGTTTGAGCAGAATGCCAGTGGCGCGGTGACTCCTGCCTTGTCAGCCCCAGACATACCTGTTCCTCTGTCACCGCTTCAGAAGTCAGATCAATCTTCCTGGGAGTCAACCCAATGAAAGCAACAGGCCCGGACAGTTTCCCCGGCCGAGCACTCAGATCCTGTGCGGACCAAATGCCAGAGGTATTCACCAGTATCTTCAGCCTCTCCCTCCTACAAGCTCAAGTCCCTATCTGCTTCAAGAAAACCACCATCATCCCCATACCAAAGAAACCGCATGCAGTGTGCCTTAATGACTACTGCCCAGTGGTTCTGACTTCAATAATCATCAAGTGCTTCAATAAACTGGTCATGGCCCACATCAACTCCAACTTCCCAACCTGCCTCGATCCCCTACTGTTTGCCTACCAAAATAATAGAACCACAGCGGATACCATATCCCTAGCCCTGCACTCATCCCTGGAACAAAGACACCTACATCAGATTCCTCCTCATTGACTACAGCCCCGCCTTCAGCACCATTATCCCCTCCAGACTGATCTCAAAACTGCATGACCTTGGTTTCAGCTCTGCCCTCTGCAACCGGATCCTTAGCTTTCTGACCCATAGGCCACAATGAGTGAGAATAGGTAACTGCACCTCCTCCACAATAACACTCAACACTGAAGCCGCCCCAGGGATATGTCCTCAGCACCCTACTGTACTCCCCTTACACCTACGATGTGTTGCCAAATTCTGAACAAACGCCATCTACAATTTTGCTGGCGACACCACTGTAGTGGGATGGATATCTAACAACAATGAGTCAAACTACAGAAGGGAGATGGAGGGCTTGGTGATGTGGTGCAATGATAACAATCTGTCTCTCAACATCAGCAAAACTAAAGAACTGATCATCGACTTCAGAAAGAAAGGAAGAGAACATGCCCTCATCTACATCAATGGAACTCAGGTTGAGAGGGTGGAGAGTGCCAAGTTCCTCAGAGTGACGATAACCGACAACAACGCCTCTTCTTCCTCAGGCAGCTCAGGAAATTTGACATGTCCATAAGGTCCCTCACCAACTTCTCCAGATTCACCATTGAAAGTACATTGTCCGGGTGCATACGGCCTGGTATGGTAACTGCTCTGCCCAAGACTGTAAGAAACTACAGGAGGTGGTGTGCACAGCCCAGACCATCACAGAAGCCAACGTTCCATCCCTGGACTCCATGGAAAGGTGGCCAACATCATCAAAGACACATTGTACCCTCGCAATGATCTCCTGCAACCTCTTACATCAGGCAGAAGATACAGAAGCCTGAGCATGCACGTGAGCAGGTTCAGAAACAGCTTCTACCCAGCCGTTATCAGACTGATGAACGGACTCTCTAGCCACAAATAATGCTGATCTTGCTAAAGTTGACCTTGCCTTGCGCATGCCCTGTGTGATGTAACCTGTGTCTAAGTTTTTGGTCTATACGTCCTTGCTTACTATGATCTGCCTGTACTGCTCATAAACAAAGCTTTTCACTGTATTTCAGTGTACATGACAATAAATCAATCAACTAATAAACCTTGGAGAGACAGCAAGCGAACATTTCGAGTCTAGAAATATTCAGAGCAATATTTGTAAATTGGCTACTAACTTTGCTCCATTTCAACACTGGCCATCTCTCAAGACTGCTTTGTGGACTGTAAGGAGCTTTGAAGTGGGCTGTGGAAGTGGTGCTGAGTCACCACAAGACCTTCTGTTCTGCTCAACCTGGCAGCTGTACAGCCCCAGAACCCACTGACCTAGCAATGATACTGCTGCCAGCTACATCCAGCTGGTTCTGAGAGCAACACTGTGGATCCCAGTGATTCATGCTGCAGAATGAGTGTAATGAGTTTATTATGCTACACAAAAACAAAGGCACATGGACATACAACACAGGACTGCTGAATGATACACAACAGCAAAGATAGGGCAGAATGAAAGTCAGCAATGAGTTGGGCAATGATGTGCTGGTCCTTTTACAGTGAGTCTGAAAACAAAAGATTTTTACCCCCCTCTCAAATCGACAATTCTTGACCGATCCAGTGCAACGAGTAATGACAACAGGAGAAAACGGCATCATTGCATGTTCAAGAAGGCATGTTATCCACCAGCTTCTCTGAGACAGTGAGGGTTGGGGCTTGAAATGTGCTCCGGGCTTGGGGATTGAATATGTTAAGAGGAAGGCTTTGATTAAAGAGCTCTGGAAGAAGGAAGCGACTTTTTCAGAGATGGTGAGTGGAGCTCCACGAACTGTTAATGAGCTTGTGTGATGGTGTAGTCGGTTTGCCCAGATTCATCCCAATTTGTATGGACATGTTTTGAAATCTAGCTGTTATTTTCACACCATCTAGACCGCAGCAGTGGTACAAAGCAAATATTATTTCAATTTAATCACACCCGCCCTGTGTAAAAATGCACAGAACAACTGCTGGCTGGCCAGCGGTCTGTGTGCCGCAGCTATAATGATCCAATTATGAACTCTCCATCTGGGCCTCAAGCCTAAATCCCTCATATACTTTTTTGTGAGGGAGGACAATAAGGGCGGGCCGCTGACATTCTCAATGATGTCTTGCTGCCTCACCTTGTCAGATGTTTACCCAAGGAGCTCGGGCTGGTAATTGCTGAATTCAGACTGAGTTATAGGACCCCTACCTCGTGGAAGCAGGCTATTGAGTCTGCACTGACCCTCCGAAGAGCATCCCCACCCCGCCCCGCACAAAACCCCATCCCTTGTAACCCTACATTTCCCATGACCAATCCATCCTAACCTGCACATCCCTGGGCACTATGGGTAATTTAGCATGTCCAATCCACCCTAACCTGCACATCCCTGGGCACTATGGGTAATTTAGCATGTCCAATCCACCCTAACCTGCACATCCCTGGGCACTAAAGGACAATTTAGCACGGCCAGTCCACCCTAACCTGCACATCCCTGGGCACTAAAGGACAATTTAGCACGGCCAATCCACCCTAACCTGCACATCCCTGGGCACTAAGGGACAATTTAGCGCAGCCAATCTGCCCTAATCTGCGCATCTTTGGACTGTGGGTGGAAACCCACAGAGAGAACATGCAAACTCCACATGGCCAGCCGCCTGAGGGTGGAATTGAACCCGGGCGCTGTGAGGCAGCAGTGCTAACCGCTGAGCTGCCGTGCCATTTGAAATCTGTCACATTAAACATGGCTGACAAAGAGAATGCACAGTGTGGAGCTGGAGGAGCAGAGTGGGCCAGGCAGCATCAGAGGAGCAGGAAAGCTGATGTTTCGGGTCGGGACCCTTCCTGCTCCTCTGCTGCCCGGCCCACTGTGC